TTTGGCCAGCCCAGTGGTCCCGATATTATGCGTCGCTCTGGGTGCCATGTTGCCCTCAGGCAGGGCCATGAGAATGGGGCAAAGAGGGCAGTCACAGCGGGAACCAAATTATAAATCAAAACAATCCAAAATATTAACAATCAACACCCCCAACTATGAAGTTTTTATGTAAATGATATAGGAGGATTTTACAAACTGTTGGAGTCTCATTACATACAAATAATTAAAGGCAGACATTTTTTAAAATTAAAATATGTTTAAAGACATGCTAGTGGATAGGTCTGCAAACCAACATTTTATCGGACTATAATGAGAAACATTAATTTCAGCTACAAGATTTGTTAAAAATAAACCTGTTAACTGAAGCGACAACAAACATGCAAGAAAAATGTTCAATAAAACACTTTCTTTCTGTCTTATGTCTTTCTGATTTATATATTAGATTCATAAAAGACAAGTTTGCCTCTCAAGACTCCATTCTTATTCATTACATAATCAACTGCATTTTCAAATGTCTATAATAAAATAATAAATTATCATATCACATTATTCTTGCATTTGTCAGCTGGATATGAGACATGAATATCAGAGCCTTCAACGATTTTCAAATGACTTTGCCCTTTGTGCCAGTATTAGAGTACCCCAACCTGTGGCTGCATTATTAAGACGTGACATACTTGTGGAAACTTTTGAGGTTACCAATTTAAGTTTTAAACTTTTAATATTGACAGAAAAGAAGGTTATATTTGAACCATGAGAAAGTTATTTTTTATTATTTTTTTTTTCTCCCTTCAATTTTGAGTCTCATTTTTGTATTTTGATTTTTTTTAATGGTATTAAAAATGTTAAGTGCAAAAACATTTTTTTAAAAATTATTCCTCTTATATTTTATTCAATTTATACGCCAACTTGTGATTAGTAGTGAAATTTTAAATTAGCTCTCTAAAAAACTATTTAAAAAAAATTATATTTAAAATATGTTAATGATAACATAAACAGAAAAAATAAACTGTAAAATGTTACCAGGAAGGAGTAAGTGTTGGCCATATTTTGAAGGACACAAAATACTCCAGTGAATTAAAGAAACATCTGGCCACAATTGGGATGGATGCTTTACTGCAAATGGTAAGTGTCCATATTAAATAAAAGATGGCTGACAAAAATGGGTACGTCCTTGAAGAAATTAATCCATCTGATTTTATAGGTTTTAAATGAAAACAATTAACGAAATAACTTTTGTTGGTTGTTAACTTAAACCTAGAGTTATATGAACCATGACTGAATCATTTTAAAATATATAATATGTAAATAAAACTATACATAAGCTATAAGCTACATTGAATATATTCAGAATCAAACATATTTTTTCTTGCACAAGTCAAAAAGTGATACTACACCATCTTTTTTAAAAGGTGTGATAAATGCTAGAGAACACCCATATAGCATAAATAAACAAGGCCTTTGTCCTGTTTCCAAAATTGAAACAATTCTAACCATAATGGAATGTCAGACATTGTGCATTTACTGGAATATTGTATACAAGTAGATCAACGGAAAAAATTGATATAGAAAACAAATTAATCAGAAGATTTGTTATGTTGACGCCATATGTTAATAATCAAATTCACAGTTTTATGAAGCTGCAATGTCTTTTCATGTTTGGTTTTACATTGTACTTCCATCGACTTTCTTTACATTCTTCTGAGCTTTGTTGTTTGTGAGGGGCTTGTGCCCACTATTTTTCTTTCCTTTTCTTAATAAAGGAAATTATATATGACATAAAAATTATGTTGTGATTCTGCTATAATCCCCTTAGATAATAAATATATACCGGTATGAAATAATGTGTATGTAACATTTAATTTACATTCATGTTACTTGTAGATTTTTTGTATATACCATACAGGCATTATCAGAAACGTTTACATTTATATTTTGTCATCAAATAATTACTGCTTAGATATAATATACTATTTAATTTACACAAATTGATTGTCTTAAGTTAATAATGGACTTAACAGCTTTATTGCAGTCCAATACTCCTCTAAAATAAATAACCATTAACTGTAGTCCTTATAGTTTCTCAGGTTTACGTTGCAACATATCCATTGGGCGTCTCTACAGATTCCCCAAGATAGTCTTGTTGTAATATTCATTTAGAGTTTATGAGAAATTACAAGGATTATAATTTTGGAAACTAATTGACTTTTCGGTTTCCTTTATATGAGTGAAAGAAATTTCAGTCACATTAATTTTTTTTATTCCCAACAAAGGTTTTTGTGAACAACTTTGTACATGGTGATCTTCACCCTGGCAACCTGCTAGTACAAAATTTGGATCACTTTGTTGATGAGGTCAGTGTTATATTTTGTGTAGATCTTAAACATTACTGAATGTAATGTATAGATATTAAATCATTAGCTCAGCATACGGTGTACGTACCACTTGGTTTGTTCATAACTTTGTTTTTAAATTGGAAACAAATTCTATAATTATAACAATTAAAATGAATATAGTGATTCTCCCAAAAAAGATTTCAGAATTTCTTTGCTCTTGTTTTTACAGGCCAATGGTCAAGGTGGCTTTATAGACAAGATGATTGCCAGTATGCAGCCGAAGGAAGAAAACCCTCTACGGTTGGTGCTGCTGGACTGTGGAATAACAGCTTCACTCACAGCCAATGACAGGCAAAAATTCATGGAGGTCTTCATTGCTGTTGTAAAGGGAGAAGTAAGTACCGGTATTGGAAATAATGTTTTCTAAAATAAATGTGACATCTTTCCAAACTGATATAAAAAATGTGACATATATTTCCAAACTGATATAAAAAGAATGTGACATATATTTCCAAACTGATATTAAAAAATGTGACATACATTTCCAAACTGATATAAAAAGAATGTGACATATATTTCAAAACTGATATTAAAAAATGTGACATACATTTCCAAACTGATATAAAAAGAATGTGACATACATTTCCAAACTGATATAAAAAAATGTGACATATATTTCCAAACTGATATTAAAAAATGTGACATACATTTCCAAACTGATATAAAAAGAATGTGACATACATTTCCAAACTGATATAAAAAAATGTGACATATATTTCCAAACTGATATTAAAAAATGTGACATACATTTCCAAACTGATATAAAAAGAATGTGACATACATTTCCAAACTGATATTAAAAAATGTAACATACATTTCCAAACTGATATAAAAAAATGTGACATATATTTCCAAACTGATATAAAAAGAATGTGACATATATTTCCAAACTGATATAAAAAGAATGTGACATACATTTCCAAACTGATATTAAAAAAATGTGACATAAATTTCCAAACTGATGTTAAAAGAATGTGTGTGTTCTTAATAAGCTGCTCATAATTTAATTGATTTCAAAAGGATACATAGAGAAATGGAATGGACCTCATAAACAAAGAAGTTAATCCTCTATCTCTTATGAGGTATAACTTTTAAAATACATAAATAACTTATTTCGCTTTCATTATGTTCCTGTGAGAAAGATTTTTAAGAAAATAAATCTGGCCTCTAGTCTCCCCCGCCCCACCCCAATCTCAGATTAAGCATTATACTCATGACTCGTGTGTATTGATATATTTTATATTGGCTGTATAAACATCTCTAGTGTTTTGGTTCCTAGGGTGAAGTAGTTGCAGATCTTTTTCTGAGCAAGTCTGCTGTGAACCATTGCACTAATCCTGAACTGTTTCGTAAAGAAATGGCTGCTGTGGTAGACAGAGGATGCCATAATTTAATGAGGTCCAAAGTGAGTGTTTGTATCCATGGGCGCCCACAGAAAACTTTCTGGGGGGG